TCGGCGCCCGCGCCCGCGCCCGCTGCGGCCTCCACAGGAAGTGCCGGCGGCCGGCCTCGCTCCTCGTCCGCGGCTCCAGCGGCTGCCACGTAGGCCAAGCCTTAAAGGGGCCGCGCCGCGGGGCCCGCCCCGGCCGCGCCTTAAAGGGGCCACGCGCCGCCCGCCGCGCTTAGGCCCCGCCCACCTCACTTGAGGCCCCGCCCTCCCCGCTCGAGGCTCCGCCCGCTCCTCCCTGAGGGCCGGCCTGCAGGAGACGCGCGGGTGTCCCAGCGGACACTGTGACACTGTTCGGGCAGGGAGGGTCCCCGGATCAGGCCAGCACCCGGGGCTGAAGGGCGCCCCCAGGGTGGGGGATGGGCGCTCACCGGACGCGGTCCAGACTGAGCATGCTCAGTTCAGGGTCTGACTCGGCTGGGGCTAGCGGTGCGCCCCAGCGCCCAGTGGTGGGACAGGGAGGCCGGGAGTCTCCCCGCAAGACACAATGGAAAAGTACCAGGTTCCGAGTTGTCCGCTGGTGGGGAGGCGGGCGCGACGAGGGGCCGACCGTCAGGGGCGAGCCCAGGACCTGGGTCTCCTGCCGCCACCCCCGGCCCCCTACCGGTTTAACCGTCACGAGGGGCCAGCATCCAGGTCCGACCCCTGGGAGGCAAGGGGCCCGTGTTGCGGGCAGTATCTGCCTCTAGCTCATAGGGTGACCTCCGGTACCTCCAGACGTGACCTCCGGGGTGCCCTTTGCCCCTCTGGGCCTGGGTTTCCCCCTTTCTAAAATGGTGGGTGAAATTAAGGCCTCTCCAGTCTGAATATGGGAGGATGGAGGACACCTTCATCCTTTTCACCCATGGGTCCATGTGCTTCGGCCCATAGAGACAGGCCACCCTAGAACGTTCAGAATTCATAATCAGATGCCCCCAAACTCCTAAAACACCCCATCAGTAGTCCCTAGCTGGGGGAACTTGGGCCTTTTCCAGGGCCTGTGAAAATGTTTAGGACGTGAAAAATTCACAAAACAAAAGGAAAGCTGCAAATGAATGTTTAACTAAATGCATAAGATGTCAATTTTTTTAACTGTTAGAGTCAGTCTCTATAAAAAATTCATGAATTTGACAATAATTGGTCAGTTAGATTTTTCTCACTTTGTGAGAATTCCCTTTGTGTGGGAGACTGTAGGGTGTCAGCCAGTGGTAAAGCAGGTGAGCTTCTGGGTGACCAGAGAATTTTAAAAGTAGTTACTTTTTCGGGGGGGGGGAAGACTTGATCCGAAGACAGGGGTGCATTTTACTGTTTAATTTGCCCCCTAAGAATGCTTAAGTGTGCATTCTTACACCAGCATAAGCTGCTCAGTACAACACCCCTGTTATTCCCTGAGCAGGATTCAGGCTGCCACAGGGGCTGGATTACAGAATCCTGAAACTTTTCTGAACTCTGAGAATCCGAAGACGTGGGGCTCCACCCCCTGTGTGCCCTCCTCGGCATCCTGCCCCCTTCCCCCCACCCTCTGATGACTGTAATCCCATCATCCACGCTCACCTATCCCTCAACCTCCTTGCGCAGAGTTCTGGCTTGGCGGCGATCTCTCTGCAGGTCTGGCTCGATGCGCCAGCTCTGGAGTCAGACCCCAGAGTTCCAGTCGACTCCCAGCCCTCTCAGTTATTAGTGTTGTAGCCTCAGGCAAGGACCCTGCTCCCTGTGCCTCAGTTTCCTCCAGTGTAAACAAGGAGATAGCAACAGCGCCGACTGCGTGGGTGGCTGTAAAGTGCTTGGCACGTGCCAGGCACACACATGGCTGTGACTACGATTACACCAATTATGGACCAGTTACTTTCTTGTTTGGATGCCCAGTTTGGAGGTGGATGCTGGAAGCTGGGATCCTAGGGGGCTAGAGAGAGTGAAGAAACCCTCTGCCCCAGGGAGGTGCTGGTGCTTGGATGCCTTGCAGGTCCTCACCACAGACTGGAGAAGGGGTGTGGGGTGGTGGACAGAGCTCCCCTCAGAGAGGGGCTCGGGTTCTGCCTTCACAGGCCTCCTCAGCATTCTGCGCCGCTTCCTTGTCTGCCAGCCCACGAGGGAAATTAGTTAGGAGGACCGGAAAAGACACCGGAGGTGGGCACACGCTTTGGAAAGTGAAAAGACATGTACGCTTTCCTGAAAGCTTCTCTTTTGCTGATAGATTTTGGACTGGCTGAATCCTGGGGCCTTGGGGGTGAACCTTCTGGTGGAGGAGACAAAAAGCAAAGTAAAGCATGTGATAAAGCAGGTAAGAGGCCGTGCCTGCGGTACCCGGTGGGGCTGGCTCCCCAAACACGTTAGAGAAAGGCGATGTGACAGTGGGTTCCTCTCCGCCAGCAGTCACAAAGGAAGATCCAGCGGGCTTGTGGGGGGGCGGATAGACGGGGATGGGGGGGTGACATGAGGCTCCTCGGGCTTCCCCGCCGACTCACCTCTCTCACCTTGATGGAGAAGGAACGCTCACGTTCACTCCACCAGCAACCATACCCACCATTTATGCGGACATCGTGCCCGGCATCAGCATCATCTTTCATCTCCTGCCACCTCAGCAAAGCGGGACTGATGACCCCGCTTTACAGCCAAGGATAGGGAGGCTGGAGGGGGGTGGCCAGGGACTTGCCCAAGGTCACACAGGTTTAAGGACAGAACGCTGACCCCGGGCCCTTCCTTCACGTCCTCACCAGGGCTGGCACGGCCGGGTGGAGTGCACAGCTGCAGGAGGACAGCCCTTAGCGTGTCCAAGACCAGGTAGTCCAGATGAATGGAGGGTCTAGGGAAGAGCTTTGTTGGTGGCCGCTGCGGGCGCCCTTCCACCCTGCCAGGCCTCCTGTCTGTGCAGCAGCTCAGTCCCGAGGCAGCAGGGTTGGAAGTCCTTACCGGCCTCCTGCTCCATTGCTGGCTGGCTGTGGGGTTGCCCCGTTGTCTCACGGGCCCATGGGGCAGGGTGGATGACTGCTTTCACCATCAAGGAGCTTTATTCATTTTTTTGAATTTTATTTTATTTATTTTTTTATACAGCAGGTTATTAGTTATCCATTTTATACATATTAGTGTATATGTCAATCCCAAGGAGCTTTTTTAAAAGTCAGTCAATCTTTCTAAACAAAATGGAGGAGGGGGGTTGTATATCCTTTCAGGGTTGTTTGGTAAGCATTTACAAAATTCTTGGTTTTTTACAAGAATGGTGCTGGGACTTCCCTGGTGGCCCAGTGGCTAAGACTCCACACTCCCAGTGCAGGGGCCCCGGGTTTGATCCCTGGTCAGGGAACTAGATCCCACATGCTGCAACTAAAGATCCCGCACACAGCAATGAAGATCCCGCGTGCCGCAACTAAGATCCCCCCCCCCAAAATAAATATTTAAAAAAAAGAATGGGGCTTCCCTGGTGGTGCAGTGGTTGAGAGTCCGCCTGCTGATGCAGGGGACATGGGTTCGTGCCCCGGTCCGGGAGGATCCCACATGCCATGGAGCGGCTGGGCCCATGAGCCATGGCCGCTGAGCCTGCGCATCCGGAGCCTGTGCTCCGCAACGGGAGAGGCCACAGCGGTGAGAGGCCCGTGTACCGCAAAAACAAAACAAAACAGAACAAAAGAATGGTGCTGAACTTGATAATGTGCTTTTCCCCACTCAGTGTATGGCAAATGCTGTTGGTACTGCTGACACATCTTCCTCCTTCCCTGGCTCTGGTGGCCATATGGACCCCCCTGCTTGATATGCCATGACTGACCCAACCCATCCACTCAGGGTGATAAGGGCTTAGCCTGTTCTCGATTTTTTACTCTGTATAAGCAACTCTGATAAACAACCTTATAGTTAATGTTTTTGAGGCTCCGTGATTTCCTTGGGATAAATTCCTAGGGGTGGGATTTCTAGGTCCAAAGAGGTGGTAACCTGAAGGCTGTCAGCATATGTTTTTGGCCAAAATGATTTCAGCACGAGCCCCTGGAACAGAAGGAAGGGATGCAGACGCAGATGCTGCTGCGTCTGGGGTCTTTACGTGGATTGGGGAATCACCCACTAACTGCATTTTCATCTACGATCACCCTAGTTACAAGCGTTTTTCATTTGTAAATCTTATGAGCAAAAAGTTCTGGGTAAGGATCTGGTAAGATGCGGTGAGAGTATGAACCCACAGCCTTTGCCACCAAGTATGTTGCAGACTCAAAGTTTGGTGCTGCCCTGACCACTGCCCTCTCTCCCTCTCCACGCGTTCCCCGCCACCCACATTCAGTGACAGGGACAAGCCTCCCAATACGGATGAGGAATACAGTGATGGGGCTGATACTTTGCGAGCCAGAGCAGAGCTCTTTGGCTCTGGGGGCCAGCACATTGTTTTCTCCCCTGCTTTCAAGATGGTCTGAAAATGGATCCTCTAATGATTCCTTGGGGTTTACGTTATGTGATCCTAAACTTATCCTTGCAATAGGGGCAAAGGTGACCTCATGGCTCAGAGGATTTTTGGATCCCTTCCTTAGGAACATCTCCAGGCCCCATCTGGTGGCATGTGATGGGGCATGAATATAGGCACCTGGCAGCCCTGGTGAATAATGATGGTGATGATGATAGTGGTGCTGATAATGGTGATGGTGATGATGATGGTGGTGATGGTGACGGTGGTGGTGGTGATGGTGATGGTGATGGTGGTGGTGGTGGTGATGATGTGGTAGTGATAATGGTGATGGTGGTGATGGTAGTTATGGTGATGGTGGTGATGGTGATGGTGATGGTGGTGATGATAGTGGTGCTGATACTGGTGATGATGATGATGATGGTGATGGTGGTGATGGTGATGGTGATGGTGATGATGATAGTGGTGCTGATACTGGTGATGATGGTGATGGTGATGGTGGTGATGGTGATGATAGTGGTGGTGATGGTGGTGGTGATGGTGATGGTGGTGATGTTGGTGGTGGTGGTGGTGATGTTGATGGTGGTGATGATGTGATAATGGTGATGGTGGTGGTGATGGCGGTGGTGATGGTGGTGGTGGCGGTGGTGATGGTGGTGGTGATGGTGATGGTGGGGGTGGTGATGGTGGTGGTGGTGATGGTGATGGTGGTGGTGATGCTGGTGGTGATGGTGATGGTGGTGATGGTGGTGGTGATGGTGGTGCTGGTGGTGATGCTGGTGGTGATGCTGGTGGTGATGGTGATGGTGGTGATGATGGTGGTGATGGTGATGGTGGTGATGGTGGTGATGGTGGTGGTGATGGTGGTGGTGGTCACGATGATGACGGGGGCATTTACTGCACGTTTACCAACCTAGTGCTCTTGTGCCCCTGCAGGTGGAGTGCATTGATGAGCATCAGGCCAACGAGGCCCTGGAGGAGGTAACTCTCTGGGTGGTTCCCTCTCTACAAGACATGATGCAGGACACACAGAGACTGTTCTGCACCCCACTGTGGCATGATGGGTGGAAGCCTGGTGGAGGCATGGAGGGTCAGAACCAGCTCTTGCCCTGTGCTATGAAGTCAGAGGCCCCCAGGTCATGAAGGGAGTCTGTGTACCAAAAACTCATTTCTAAATCCAGGCGCTGACAACTTAGAATACATGTTCTCAGAGAAGATGATAACCTTCAAATGCTGGCTAGGTCCCTAGGCTGATCTACCAATAACCATCTTTTAAAAGATTTTTTTTTTCAATTGTAAAAGTATCAGTTACAATAGAATCTTTGGAAAATAGAGAATTGGTTAACAAAGAAAATATAAACTCTTACGTTCCTTAACTCTGCCAATCAGAACTGAGTAACATCCTGATTCATAATAATAGCAGAAACAGCTGCGTATACTTTGATCTGCCGGCAAAGGCTCTGCGTCGTTTTTCTCCGCTTTCCTTGAATTTCACATGAGGTTGAATGTCTCCCTTCCTATCTAATGGTCACTTGTTCGTCTTTTTTCCGGAATCACCAGCTTTTGAGCTTTGCTAGCAAACAGCTATTCTGTCCACAGTGAGTCTGACACATGGTGATGGACCCAGGCCACATTCATGAAAGAAAGAATGTGGGGGGGCCGTCCCACGCGCCCCCCAGCATCACAGCCCCCTCTCCACCCCACTAGGCGACCTCCTTTCACACCCAATCTGCCATCATAAGCAGCTGTCCATCTGGCCTAAGTCGCTAAGGGAGCCGTTTCTGCTGCCTAATTGTGTTCATTTGCAAAGCACTTTGAGCTGAGGGCAGGGGCCCTGGGACCTCTAGTGTACACAACCGGGAGGCCAGGTGGCCTGGGCACAGCAGCAGCGGCCGGCCTCCCATTGGCCACACCCCCTTCGTCAGCCAACCCGGACTGTGCTTGTTTCCAATGCGCCAGGCACTCTGCCTGCATAGGCTTACCTAGTCCTTCTGACACCCCTGTGAAGCAGATACCACCGTTACTGCTGTTTCCAGATGAGGCTAGGAGGCTCAGAGAGGTTGAGGAGCCTCTCCTCAGTCACACAGCACAGCCAGCTCATGCCAGAGACAGGACCTACCCTGGGTTGTCTGGCCCCTAACCTCCGGCTGCCCACCCTCCCTGGGCCCGCGCTCAGAGCTGGAAGCGTGTGGTTTTTGTTGGGACGTGTGGCAGAGAAGCACCTCTAGAAGCAGGGTTTCCCTAACATCTCCACTTTCTCTGGCCTCGCCCCGCAGTTGGTGCCGCTGCTGAAGCTTCAGCACGCCCACGTCTCCATCTACCAGGAGCTCTTCATCGTGTGGAACAGTGAGGTGGGTCAGAGCCGACCCCGCGGGCTCAGCAGGCACTCAGGGCGGGCACAGAGCACCCCCCGCTGCGCCCCTCGAGCGCCAACGGCCGCAGCACTCACGGGGCCACGCCAGGGGCTCTCTGGGCATCGTCTCACGTGCGCCCCACAGCCTCTGCATAGGAGGGTCACTGTCCCACTTTCCGGAAGAAGTGGAGGCTGGGAGAAACCAGCTGGCGACAACCGAGCAGGATTCCAGTCTGGGTCTGGTCGCCCCGAGCCCCGTGCTTTGTCCCATCGGCGAGCTGATTTCTCATCTTCAAGGAGCCAGAAGCTTGCCGGTTACTCCACATGGGGCTGAGCTGGGGGATGCGGGGGGCTGGAGGGGAAGGGGGCCAGGTGTGACCCCACAGTCAGACCCCCATCAGGGCTGACAACCGAGGGAGGGGCCCTTCCCCTTCAGCTGGGCCCTGAGGAAAGCCGTGGGGAGGGCCCCTCACCACCTGTCCCCCCAAGTATTTTCTGAGCACCCCCTCACGCTCTCAAGGGGGACACAGAGAATCCAAGAGGACATGTCACTGCGGGAGGGAAGGCAGGGTGCTCTGAGAGGCCTGACGGGGGCTGCTGGGGTCCCGTCGGGTGCAGGCCCCTCAGAGGGAGAAGTGGATCTCAGCTGAGCCCTAAGGGACGAAGGGTCCGGTGCCCCAGGCACGGTGGTCTACGTGTGCGGTGGCCAGGAGACCCCACACCCCTTTAGGTGTTCCTAAAGCAGCTTAGCGTAGATGGGGGGTAGGGGGGGATGGGGGGAGGAGGCGGAGGTGGGAGCTGCTCAGGAGGGGCTGTCCCCCCCCACAGAAGGGGGCATTCTCCCATAGTCACTGCCGGTGGTGGCCTGGCTGGGAGGAAAGACCTGGAGCGGGTGACGGCCCGGAAGCCCCCAGGCCTGGGCCTCTGGGGGCCAGAACTCGACACCTGGCTAAGGGGCTGTGTCCCCTGCAGATCTCCTCTCTGTTCCTTTGCCTGGTGATGGAGTTCCACGAGGGAAGCTTCCAGAGTGTCATTGAGAAGAGGGCGGCAAAGAGAGTCATTGACTCCCAGGGAAGACAGACTCTCTGGGGCACCAGGCCTGGGGGCTGCCTGGACCCTGTGATGCCACAGGCCCCACAGCAGAGGGCAGAGGAGCAGGCACCGATGGAGTCTGGTCTCATTTCTTCTGACGGTTATGAATGAAGGTATTTGCATACCGTAATGTGCACAGATCTTAAGTGTACACCTTGGTGCGTTTTGCATAGGCAGACACTCCCGTCCCCTCCCTCACGTGAGGTCAGAGCGTTCCTGGACCTTCAGACAGTCCCAGCCAGTACCCGGGGTTCGACTTCTGCCTCCAGAGATCCTTCTGCCTGTCCCTGAAGTTCTCATAAATGGGCTCATACAGCGTGTTGTTTGCCTGTGTCTGGTTTCTCACGTTCATCCCAGTGCTTTGAGGTCTACCCACCTGTAAGTGTGTCAGGAGATCATCCCTCTCCGTGGCCAGGGGCCACTCTGTTGGATGTGGCCACGTCACCATCAGTGTATCTGGTCCAGCGCTGTGAGCATCTGGGCTGCTTCCAGTTTGGGGCTATTATGAAGAAGTGCTGCCATGAACACTGCTGGGCATGTGTTTTGATGGACCTAAGCATTCATTTTCTGCGTGACCGTGGAGTTGTTGGATCACAGAATGGGTGCGTGTGCTGCTTTAGCCAACGTCCCAGTTTTCCAGGTTGGTTGGTTGACTCGGTGTTGACTCTCATCCCAAGTTGTGAGTCTTCCGGCTCTGCATCCTGGCCCACATTTCACTGTGTCAGTCTTCTTAATTTTAATTAAAAATTACATTTTAGTTTCAATTATTTTGAGTAGTCATGGTGAGCACTTTTTGGCCGTTTGGATATCTTCTTTTGTGCCTGTTCAGGTCTCTTGCCCATTTAAACGTTAGGGTTGGCCGTCTTTTCTTGTTGATTCATAGTAGCTCTCTATATATTATGGACACAGTGTCCAGATGTCCTCTCCCAGGCTGTGGCTTGCCAGTTCACTTTCTTAATTGTAATGAACTCTGGTTCATCAGTGTTTCATCTGTGGTTGGTGTCTTCTGAGCCTTTAGAGAAGCCTTCCCCACCCCAAGGTCATGACGATATTTTCCTCTGTTGCCCTCAGAGCTGGATCCATTTTGCTTTCACATTTAGGTCTATGACCCACCCCAAATAAATTTTGCCTGCTTTTGCTCTGAACACACCTCTGTTCTGTTGGGCCTCCAGGCACTGCGACCCTGCTGGGGGGTTCTGAGGGGCACGCAGCTCCAAAGTGGTCCTCAGAGACAGCCTCTGAGTGGGTTTCAAAATTTCTGCTTGTGGTAGAACCCTGTCGAGCACAAAAATGTTCTCAGAACCCGCAGTAAGGAAAGCAGAGCTACTCTAGTCAGGGGTCTGGGGGTCAGTGGAAGGTGGCATGGCAGGAACCCCGGGGTCCTGCCTGCTCAGCCCCTCTCTTGACACCCCAGGTGGAATCCAGGGTTCCTAGGAACACGGTTTGAAAATCACTGCCCTGGAAACCAGGTGGATCTTGTTTCTGACACAAACTGCTTCCAGAATGTTCTCTCTCAGGGCTCTTTCCATTCTAATGCCCTGGACAGGCAAACCCCAAGTAGCAGCTGCAGACTTCAGCGTCTCTGGAACCCATGGGGTGGGACCTGGGCGGGGCTAGAGCCCCAGGGCCCCCAGGGTCTCCTGGAGACAGGAGTGGGGGGTCTGGAGACCAGGGCGTCGCCGGCTAACAGGGCATTTCTGTCCAGAGGGCCTTGAAGCAGCCTGCAGCAGAAGCTCCTGCACTGGCTCTGAGCTGTTGGCTGCTCACTTCAGGCCCATTGCAAGACGCAGGGTGGGAACTGGCCAGGACCCTGCTGGCTGCTCTGAGTGGCCACTGACCTGCCTAAGAGCAGCTGGGAGGCCCACCTGGGAGCTTTCAGGCCCCCCCAAGTCCTGGCATCTCTCGCTCTTTCCCCAGTGGATGCAGAACATGCTGGGCCAGGTGTTGAATGCGCTGGAGTACCTGCACCAGCTGGACATTATCCACAGGTGACCGGGTGGCCAGGCTGCTTGAGGAGAAAAGGCACCTCCTGGGGGTGGCACCTCCTGGTGGCAGCACCCGGGCATGGGCCCAAGGGAGACAGGTGCAGCTGGGACAAGGATGGGCCCCTCCCCCTCCCAGAGCACCTCCCTGGCTTAAAGAGAACGTCACCTCCTCCACGACCCTCCCCAAGCACAGACGGGGCAGTTGGTTCTAAAGTGCAAGGGAAGAACCAGATAACAGCACTGAGGAAGAGATTAGGCCGCCCAAGGGCCTCTGGGCACTCCCAGGCTGAGCTTTCGACCTGCCAGTTTCATTCTCCAGAACTGTGATCTGAAGGATCAGTGCCGTATTTAGAGGAGAGAAAACTGTGTGAACCAAACGTAGGAAGGAAATGCTCGAGATTCCGTGTTAATGTCACCGGACCTTATGGAAAGCCAGTCCCCAGACAAACACAGCTGAGATCTGGAAGGACGTTAGCGGAGGGACCACGGGAGGATCGGGTGTTTCCTTACTTGTAGTTGGCCTATTTTCCCCATTTGAAATCACAGTATATTTATGCTTACAGAAAACGATATTCAAAAAGGTGGCTGAACAGGGCATCTACTGAGGAGAGAGGAGGAGGGGTGTGGGCTGCTGCGGCGGCCCTGGGTGTGGCGGGAGCGGAGGGTTCACAGACGGATGTGGCCCTGCCAGGCAGTGGGTGGAAGGGCGTGCCTCTCGGTTTCAGGAACCTCAAGCCCTCCAACATCGCCCTGGTCAGCAGTGACCACTGCAAACTGCAGGACCTGAGCTCCAACGCACTCATGACCGACGTAGCCAAGTGGAACGTCCGTGCAGAGGAAGGTGGCTGGCGTCCTCCCAGCCAGGGGACAGTGGTGGTGGGGGAGCACTGCGGGAGGGCCCATTCAACCGAGTGGGTCGCCCCTGGAGTCCAAGGGCAGTGGCCACTTAAGTGCTGGAACAAGGCAACAGCAAACCTCTCCTTGCTCAGAAGGTCCCCACAGACCCCCTTGGGCTTATGTGGACTCCAGAGACCCCCTTGCCTGGATTGTAACTGAGCGGAAGTACCATTGTGGGCTGGAGGGGCCATGCAGGGTCCAAAAGACACTCAGAAAATGTTCACCTTCAAGAAGGGGGAAGGGAGGCCTCAGAAGGAAGGAGACTGACACGCACAGAGGGTGGGCTGGTGGCCGGCAGGCGTTGGCTCGGCCTGGAGTACTTTACTGAGTCTCAGAATAACCCAGGAGGTGGTAAAGGTGAGCAGTCAGGGGGGAGTTTTCCTTCCTTTAAAAAGACAATAGGGCGGGCTTCCCTGGTGGCGCAGTGGTTGAGAGTCCGCCTGCCGATGCAGGGGATACAGGTTCGT